TGTATCTTCTTAGACAACCATGCTCTAAAGTTAGAATTCAACAAGAACACAAATTGCAGAAGCCCTACAAACTCATGGAAATTGAACAATGCACAATTGCACCATTGCTGGGTCAAGAAAGAAATTAAAGACTTCCTAGAATTCAATGAGAATGAAGACACAACATACCCAAACTTATAGGATACTTTGAAAGCCAGGCTAAGAGAAAAGTTCATATCACTAAGTGCCCACATGAAGAAACTGAGGATAGTCACATTAGAGAATAAACAATACAACTACAAGCTCTAGAACAAAAAGAAGTAAACTCACCCCTGAAGAGGAGATGCCAGGAAATAATCAAATTGAGGGCTGAAATCAATAAAGTAGAAAAAAAGGAAAACAATAAAAAGAATCAATGTAACAAAGAGTTAGTTCTTTGAGAAAATAAATAGGATAAGTAAGCCTTTATCCAAACTAAACAAAAGGCAGAGAGAGAACACACAAGCCAACAAGACCAGAAATGACAAAGGGGACATAACCGCAGACACTGAGGAGATCCAGAGAATATTCAGGTCATACTTTGAAAACCTGTACTTCACATATTTTGAAAAATCAACGGAAATAAACAAATATCTGGATAGATATCACCAAAATTAAATCAAGAACAGATAAGCAATTTAAATAGACCTATAACCCCCAATGAAATAGAAGCAGTCATCAAAAGTCTCCCAACCAAAATAGCCAAGGACCAGATGGTTTCAATGCAGAATTCTACCAGAAATTCAAAGAACAGCTAAAGTTTTCCACACAAAAGAAGCAAAAGAGTTATTGCCAAACTCTTTTTATGAGGCTACAATTAACTTAGTACCCAAGCCAAACAAAAACACAGCTAAGAAAGAGAACTACAGTCCAATATCCCTCATGAACATTAATGCAATCATTTATTAATCAATAAAATACTGTCAAATTGAATCCAAGAACACATCAGAATAATAATCTACCATGATCAAGTAGGCTTCATCCCGGAGATGCAGGGATGGTTCAACATATGAAAATCTATCAATGTGATCCACTATATAAACAAACTGAAAAAGAAAAACCACATGATCATTTCACTAGATGCTGAAAAAGCCTTTTACAAAATCCAACACCCCTTCATAATTAAGGTATTGGAGAGATCAGGGATAACAGGAACATACCTAAACACAATAATCGTAATATACAGTAAACCAATAGCCAACATCAAACTAAATGGAGAGAAACTCAATGTGATTTCTCTAAAATCAGGAACAAGACAAGGCTGACCACTCTCCCCATATCTCTTCAATATTGCACTAGAAGTTCTAGCTAGAGCAATTAGAAAACAAAAGAAGATCAAGGGGATACAAATTGGAGAGGAAAAGTCAAATTCCCACTATTTTCAGATGACATAATTTACATAAGTGACCTGAAAAACTCTACCAGGCAAGGAACTCCTATAGCTGATAAACACCTTCAGCAAAGTGGCAGGACACAAGATTAACTCAAGAAAAACAGTAGCCCTACTATATACAGATGATAAAGGGGCTGAGAAAGACATCAGAGAAACATCACCTTTTACAATAGCCACAAACAACATAAAATATCATGGGGTAGTGCTAACCAAACAAATGAAAGACCTATATAGTAAGAACTCTGAGTCTTTAAAGAAAGAAACTAAACAAGATACCAGAAAATGGAAAGATCTCCAAAGCTCTTGAATAGGTAGGATAAACATAGTAAAAATGGCAATCTTGCCAAAAGCAATCTACAGATTCAATGCAATCCCCATCAAAATCCCAGCATAATTCTTCACAGACCTTGAAAGAACAATCCTCAACTTTATGTGGAAAAACAAAAGTCCCAGTATAGCCAAAACAATTCTGTATAATAAAGGAACTTCCAGGGGCTTCACCATCCCTGACTTCAAGCTCTACTATAGAGCTATAGTCCCCAAAACAACTTGGTATTGGTGCAAAAATAGACAGGAAAACCAATGGAATCAAATTGAAAACCCTGATATTAACCCACACAACTACAAACTAGAAGAAACCATCCTGAGTGAGGTAACCCAGTCACAAAGGGACAAACATGGTATGTACTCACTCATATATGGATTTTAGAAATAGATCAAAGGATCACCAGCCTACAATCCACACTGCAAGAGAATCTAGGAAGCAAGGAGAATTTAAGAGAGACATACATGATCCCTCAGAAAAGGGGAAAGGGACAAGATCTCCTGAGCAAATTGGGAGCATGGGAGGAGGGGAGAGGGGATTAAGAGAAAGAGAAAGGGAAAAGAGAAGAGACGAGGACATGAGGGAGTAGGAAGATTGAGTCACTGGAAAAATAAAGAAGAGCAAGAAATGGGATACTATAATAGAGGGAGCCATTGTAGGTCTAAATCTTTCACTAGGGACATGTCCAGAGATTACAAGGATGACTAACAATCTAAGCAATAGTAGAGAGACTACCTTAAATGTCCTTCCCAGACAATGAGATTGATGACTACTAAAAGCTCTGCCATCTGAGAGCTTTTATCCAGTAACTGATGGAAGCAGAAACAGATGCTCACAGGTAAACACTGAGCCAAACTCTTGGAATCCAGTTGCAGAGAGGGAGGAATGATGAGCAAAGGGGTCAAGCAAGACCAGGCTGGAGAAACCACAGAGACAGCTGACCTGAACAAGCAGGAGCTTATGAACCCAGATTGGCAGCTGGGAAACCAGCATAGAACCAACCCAGACCCCCTGAACATGGGTGTCAGTTAGGAGGCATAGGCAGTCTATGGGGCCTCTGGTAGTGGATCAGCATTTATCCCTAGTTTATGAATGGATATTGGGAGCCCATTCCACATAGAGGGATACTCTCTCAGCTTAGATACACGAGAGAGGGCCTAGGCCCTGCTTCAAATGATGTGACAGACTTTGAAGATTCTCCATGGAAGGTCTAATCCTCCCTGGGGAACAGAAAGGGGATGGGATGGGGGTTGGGGCTGGACAGGGGAGGATGGGAGGGAGAGGGAACTGGGACTGACATGTATAACAAGATTGTTTGTAATGTAAATAAAGAAGAAGGAGAAGGAGGAGAAGGGGAAGATGAAAAAGGAGGAGAAGGAGGAGGAGGAGAAGAAGAAGACGACGAAAAAGAAGAAGACGAAAAAGAAGAAGAAGATGAAGAAGGTTGCTCAGACATGTTTAGACAATAGAAAGTCTGTGAGCTGGCTGTGACTACAGGGTATCTTGGAGCCTTACTCAGGGTGAACTTTTAAGCACAGAAACCATATCCTGGGTTGAGATACTTCAATTAACATGTGTTCTTATACTGTTGTCTACCCATCCCTCCCTCCATTGTGAACCTGTGGGGTCTCTTCCTCTCCTGGTGAGTATGGGACCAAGGTTCTCTTCAGGTGGATTTAAGCAGGCCCAAAACTCCAATGGCTTTCCTCATTCAGTGGGTGGAGGTGGGTACTCAGGTGCTGGAAGACTCCCGATGGGCTGGTCTGCTAGGACGGGTTACCCTGTGCACAGTCCTAAGTCTTTAGGAGGCTCTGAGAAGGGCACCAGAAGGCGGGATCCCTCCTTGGGCAGAGGCAGGACTAGGACGCTGGCAGACTCTGGGCAGGTCTTTCTGGATGGGCTCCCCTGTTCATGCCCAGGAACCGGGCCTCAGGAGGCTCTGAGCAGGGCCCTGGAAGGCAGGCCAGAAACAGCCCTAAGTGTATCTCCTACCTTGGGCAGAGGTGGAACCTGGACACTGGCAGACTCTGGGAAGGCCAGTCTGCAGGGACAGGCCCCTCTGCATGCAGTCCCCAATCCTCAGAAGGCTCTGAGCAGGGTACCAGAAGTCAGGATCCCTCCTTGAGTGGAGGTGGGACTAGAATGGTGGCAGACTCTGGGCAGGCCCATGAGGCCCATCTGCATGCAGTCCCTAGTCCTCAGAAGGCCTCAAAACAATTCTTTGACATATACATAATTTTACAATTTATTGAAGATGAAAACAAATTGGCATACTGATATTGATATTCTTGTTTTACATGAAAAACCCTGCTTTTACTTACGGGGTGCATATAGGTGTCACAGTGTACTTGTGGATGTCCAAATCAGGTCATAGGTGTCAGTCTTCTAGGAGGAAACAGGTTTTGGAAGCAAGCCAAATGGAACATGATATTCCTTTGAGTAGAGCCTTAGTTTTCTTATCTGTAAAACAAGAAGTTCCTTCTTAATGTTGTTGCATTTCGTTAAAGGTTTACATGGATTACATCACATAAAACTCTAGGATAGTGAGGTTTTAAAAATTACAATTATTACTAAGCAATGCAGACCTTCCAAGATAATGAAAACGCTTCACAATCTACTATTTAATACATTGTTGGTCAATGCTGGGTAAGAACAGGCCAAATTGAGACTTGTTAGGGCAATCCAGTGCTGACCTACCCTAAGGTAAGAGATGAGACCCTGGGGCTTCTGGACACTACTCCTCCTCTTTCTCTTGTTCTCTTGTAGAGGCATGCTCAAACAGAAGATGGTTGTTTTGTGTGGGACATATTGATGACTGTCCTGACAAAGTCTTCTTCCTGACCTGGGACGATGACAGAAGATGTGCAGTGCCCACTGAAGGGAGAGTGTTATGTTTAACATGGTCGCAGGCAGTGGGAGACAGAGGAGACCACCTGCCCATTCTCTCACTGTCATCGTGGGTTATGGAAGCACCCGGGAACAGGTAACAACCAGCACCAGATGCTTGCTGCCCATGGATGTGAGACAGGAGATGACTAAATTGTATTCTTAGGAGATTCTGGGAAGCAGCCCTTTCTCCCATTCTCTCAAGTCCTACACACCCACTTGAAGAGATTCCTAACCCTGTGACAATCCTCAGAAAGAAGAGGAGGAGGAGTTGTTGCTGGCATTTGTAGTAACAGGATGAGAAAGTGTGAGACTTCCTGTTTTGTATGTGTGACAGCTGGTGATAAGTGGAGGGGCCCACGCAGGAAATCCGCTCAGCTTCTGCAGTGTGACCTCCCTGAAACTTGGCAGCTCCTTTAGTCTGGATGTTGATGGCAGGACAAAGAGGAGCCTGCACCATGAGCGACGACGTGGTAGAGAGGAGCTTGGAAGGACCCTCAGCACCCACTACAGACAATTCCTCCCAGAAAGGGGGAGACTCGGTGGAAATAATAAATGGGGAGAAGGTAAAATTTGACGACACAAGGCTTTCCTTAATTCTTCAGAACGGCCTGGAGACCCTCCGAGAGGAAAATGCTTTGACAGATGTTATCTTGTGTGTGGACATTCAAGAATTTTCTTGCCATCGTGTGGTGCTTGCTGCAGCCAGCAACTATTTCAGGTCAGCCTGCCTTGAATCAGAGTCAAACTGCATGCATGCTGCAAGGAAAATATCTGTAGACATGAAAGCTGAACCTCATTTGCTTACTGTTAGATTTATGGTTATATATGATATATGCTATACACCATATATTATATATAATGTAAATATGTATGTATATATACTAAGATTTGTGTGCCTACTTAAAATATAAGAAAAGAAACTAGCCAACTTTAGATTTCCGATTTAGGCCACATGATAAGAAATTGGGATCCTTCAGAAGCAGTGCTTCTTTATTACAGTAAACTTTACATATGAAAGGATGTCCTTGATTTTAAGAATGTGAAATTACTTCAGTCAGGGGGATTTTCCCTCCCCCTTTCTTTGACTAATGTGTTAGAAACATGATGTTGTTTTTGTTCCTCAGTGGAGTTAGAGAAAAAGGATGTGGCCTCACTCTTGGACTTAACAGATGACTTGCTGAAAATAAGGGGTTTCTGTTGTGCAAGGAGAAGGAGGGAAGGATAACTAATACAGGAAGGCTCTGGGTGTGAAAGGCTCTTGGGTGTCATGGTATCAGGCCTGGGATTAGAAGATCTGCTTCCATTTCACTTTGGCCCTTGATGGCTCTGAGATTTTAGGCAATTTTCCCTGGTACTCTTGAGTTTCTGTTTTGTGAACTGGAAGATGGGGACAGTGACAGTTTTCTCTCATTGTTATTAGGGTTCTCTTAGTTGAAAGGTCCTACACAGTGCCTGGTGGATACATTTGCTCAAAGCATCTTTGTTGAAACCCTTATGAATACAACTGGTCCAGCATGGTCCACATCAGTGTGGACATGACAGGGAACCAGTGTGAAAGGATGGTGTAGGTGAGGGAGGTATTTTGAAAACTAGGGGAAAAAAATCACTGTACTTATTCTTACTGAGATTTCCCTGCTTTTCAGTCTTGGCTGAGGATTTTAAGAAGGTATCATAAAAATATCTATATCTATATCTATCTATAGATACATGTGTATTTTATTTGGGGAGGCTAGGAGAAAATTCTTTGGAAGTCAAAGAGCAGGGTCAGCAGGCTACTGTGGGTACATAGCTTCCACATACTAACAAGGCAAGGGGCAAGGAAGGGGCTTATGGGAATGTGAGGGAGTTCCTGCCTGCCCTGCACCACAAACAACCATGTCTGGTTTCACTCTGCAGCAGCATAAAGGCGACAGGTGCCCTCCTTTTAGATGAGGAAATGGAAGCTGCTCATTGTGTACCTGGCCATTGCTGGAGCAGTGATGCCTCACATTCTAAAAGTCCTTGTTTTAACTGCAGTACAAACTGCCACTATGTTTGGAGCATCATTCTACAGGGAGCATATCTAAGTAAAATGCAAGCACAGTCATAAAATGGGTCGACACAACCCAACACTGCACTGGCCACTACCTTTCCCACTTAGGAGTGAAGGAAAGCCAGCTTGCTTCAGTGCCCTACGTACTTCTTGTTTTCAGTTTATTCTTTCTGTTTTGAGTCACTAAAAAAACTGTTATCACTGGTTGTAAATTTTCTAGTAGTGTTTGCCTGCTTATGAGATAGGACTAATGGCTCTCTGCCCTTGAAACATCGCTTTGTTTTGGTCCTTGGGTTTTTCCTCATAAACAGAGATGCCTCAGCTCAGATCTTTTATTCTTGCTGATGTAGAAAACACTTTGCTAGTCCCCAGGGTCAGTGGTGTTGGTGGTGAGAAGCTGAAGTACACAGTTGTGAGGGTCTTGCCTGTGGATGTGACTTTTCTTGCCAAATTACCTAGTCTTACCCTTTCTTTAGATTTTATTCCACCGTAGTTTTCTTCCTATAATGGGTACAGTTCTGGAGATAGGACTCCATATTCTGTTTGTTGAGCCTGGTGTGGGATAGGCCCAGTATCACATGTGCCTAGCTCATTTAATGTGCATAATCACGTTCTTGTGAGTTGGGATGTTGTGCTCATCTTATAGCTGAGGGGATGAAGTCTAGGATGGCAGTTAATTTAAAAACAAAAAAAGCCAACTTATGTCCTAAGACCAAGGACCAGCATTAGGTTTGACAATGACTCACTGTGTCTAAGGTTTTCAAAGGGGTGAGACATCTGTCATTGTCATTATACCACAGCAGATTGAAATCAGCAGCCTCTGCTTGTGGTATAGAGCAGGTATCACTTCCCTCAGACTCAGCCCCTCGCCTTGTCAGTGCATCGGAGCTATTTAACCCACTGCAGCCTGCAGAAAAGCAGTTACAAGAATTTAATTGTGTGCCCGAAAAGAGATTAGGGTAGCGATGTGTCAACCAAATAGGGACAATATTAGTCACCCAGACAGTGAATTTCCCTTTGTGGATCTATTTTAAAGTTTGGGGAGGAATGAGGAAGTTGGAGAAAAATACATTTTGTTGAGACTGAGACATGAACAAAAGGCGGTAAGCTTTAAAAGTTAGTTCCTTGGCTCTGTAAAATCTGGGAGGAATTGCTTGACTTTGAAGGCTCAGTACCTGTATCTGCAGTTAAAGATTTTCAGATTTACATTTATTAGTGAGTTGTCATGGAATGCAAATAATACAACAGTTCATTTATTAATCTGTTTGCCTAAAACACATCATGTGTGTGGCAATAAGACATAATTTTTTACTTTCTGTGATTAGAAATGGTCTCTGGCTTATTTGAAAAGAGAAATTTATATATGTAGTAGTATGGACTTGGAAAATCCCCTCCCACGAAGTGTAGAGAGGTGAACTCAGAAAAGAGACAGGTGCAAGTGCAAGTAGTAGTCAAGATCTCAACCATCCAGCCTGTGTCAGAAGCCCAGCTGCTATGGAATCCTGAAGGGAAGTGTATAGAGCTTCAACTCCCTCATTGTTCTGTAGCTATTCCTGGAGACTGGAAGTCATTGGAGCTCTCACGTGTACTTGCTTCTCTGTCTCCTCAAGTCAAAGTTCATGCCTCTGATTATCTGTTGATGCATGGCTGGGATAAGAGCTGGGAATGAGTATCAAACCTCTGAACCTACTGGAGTGGAGGCTCCTGCCACAATCTCCCACTCAAAAGGGAGAATTTGTTGTATTTATGGAGGGGTCTAGTTGCTGCAGAACCCCAAAATGACTTAAGTAGGCCAGGCCTGGATTAGGTCAATAGGTGTTATGGGATTTTGAAAGAACCACAACTTTAGAAGACATTATGACTCTTGCCTCACAGGCATTGAATATGTAATTTAAGGTCCCAGAAGGCAAAAGGACAATCATTCATCCACACTATCATTCTTCCTGTCTTCATCCTCTGTGAATCTGTAGCCTGAAGGCATCGAACAGATGGGTGAACTCAAAACACTGAGCTGCATATGGTGGGACACTTCTTTAATCCCAGCACTCCTGAGGCACAGGCTGGCAGGTCTATGTGAGTTTGAGGCCAGCCTTGTCTACAAAGGGAGTTCCAGGTCAGCCAGGGATACATAGTGAGCTATGTGAAGGCAGTGACTTCCTTATTCATTCCTTTGTCCTTTTTGCCATTTGCAGTAGCTGGTATTTAGCAGGTACCCCACATATATTCAAAGTCAGTAAAACCTGGATAGTCCTCCTACAGTTTGAGTCACTGATTAAGAAAAGGTTCTCACAAGGTTGGGAGGCTGATATGTGTGTTAGAAAAGGGAAGGATGATGAAATTCAGTCCTCATGGGAAAAACCAGAAAGAGTACTTAATGTCCAAAATGCAGGCTTGGGAGACGGCTCAGTGGGTCAAGTGTTTATTGTGCAAGCAGAAGGATTCAAGTTCAGATCCCCAGCATTCATGCTGAAATCTAGGCATAGCAGTGCAAACCTGTAATCCCAGTCCTGGGAAGTAGAGATAGCATAGCCACTTGGTGAACTCCACATTCATTGAGAGACTCTGACTCAAAACATATGATGGGGGAGCAACAGAGAAAGATACCCCATGTCTACCACTGGCCTCCATACATGTACTAATGGGTGTGTATACTCTGTCTCTCTCTGTCTCTGTCTCTCTATGTCTCTGTCTCTCTCTCTCACACACACACCCCAAATCCAAATTGCTTCAGAATATTGTAGAATCAACAGGTCACTCATATAATCATGTGGACACAGGTGTGCTATGCCCGTACAGTGATTCTTGCAGCACAGTTTATATAGAGGGGTGGTGGTGGGTGGTGAAGAGTGGGTGGTGATGTGCTCCAGGGCAGAAGAGTAATAACTTCCTTTGATTTTTTAAAAACAAATTTACCCACATGCATACCTGGTGTCTAGGGCATATGGGTTGTAATTTCAATCAAGAAACAGAGTACTGGTGTGATGGTTCTGCAGAGGTGCTTGGCTCTAAGTCTGAGGATCTGAGTTCATACTGGACAAAGAGAGAACTCATTCAAGTTGTTCTCTGACCTCCCACATGACTATGGCATGCACACATGTCCATAAACATACACATATGCAACAGAAAAACATGGCAAAGATTTTTTTTTTTTTTTTTTTTTTTAGTGTTTGCTCCTGATTCCAATAGACATTAGTTGAGGGCTCCATGGATAAGTTAGTTGTTGATCTCACTCTCCAGGAAGGGCATTTATGGTAGCGGCAAAGATATTTTTTAAAGACTATGAAGTCCAGTCTTTTAGTTTTGACTGTTTTCGATGCAGTTTTCAATTAAAGCACAATAGAGAAATATTTCCCATCAGTGTGCAATCAGTCCTTTGTCAAATCATGGGGCAGCATTCGAGAAGAGCTGGCTTTGTGTTATGTAGCATTAGCTTTTCATAGATGGGCCTGCAGCTCTGTCCATTACGCTCTACATTATTCAGCATATTTTGTTTATTTGTTTGTTTTGGTTTTTTTGTCTGTTTATTTTGGTGGATATTGCTTTGTTTTGTTTGGTTTTGGTTTCAAGCAATAGAAACTCTAATGAGATTTGCTTTAGCACATTTCTATATCATAGGCAGACTGGGGCATGGCAGAGACCAGGGAGAACCCAGGCCTTCAGTGCAGCCAGCACGTTCCCTGGCTCTT